GCGCTTGCCTGGCAAGTGCAAGGTCGTGAGTTCGGTTCCTGGTACCGGAGAAAAACCAAAAAAAAAAAAAACAACAACAACAAAGGTCATCTATCAACTAACTGTCCCCAGGACACCACTCGGAAGGCCCCTTCAGGATGGGGAAGGAACCCACTGAGCTGTGTGCCCACTTGCTCAGCCCACACTGGCGAAATCTTTGCCTTAACATTCTGGGTGCTTCTGGCAGGGTTATTTTGGAGGAAGTTTGCACTGAAATCAGTTGGATTCAACACAGCACATCGCCTCCCGCAGCGTGGTTTGGCCTCATTGCAAAAGTTAAAGGCCCTAATAGAACAGAGACTGACTTCTAGCAAGAAGGAATTCTGCCAACAGATGGCCTTCAGACTCCAACCGCCTCAGCGGCTCTGCCCTGGGGACAACCAGAATGCCCATCAGCGGGTGGTGAATGGCCAAACACAGAATGGTGAACGACCGTCTTATTCCATTAAGTTTTGGGATTTGTTCCAGAGCAGTAGATAATGGCAGTAGGGTCTTCATACTCCCGTTCATTGTTCAATCTGAACGCCAGGGAGTCCCGTAGTGACACAAATCTGCTGAGGTCCTAGTAAGCACTGTCACCTCTTCCCCACGTTTATCCCACTTCGCTCTGCCAGATCTCAGAAGGTCAGGTGGGGGAATGTCAGTCCCAGGTATATTATACTAACTCCACCCAGCAAAAGGGTGGGCACATGACCAGATCTGGCCAATCAGACCCCCCCATAGCCAGGCCCACAGGGATTGGTTCAAAAGTGGTAACGGTGACAAATGCTGAGCCAATCAGAGTCCCCTGGACCCCCTTACCGGTAGTGGGAGAGACTTCCCCTTCATCATATGGCCAGATGGCTTGTGGCCCTGAAGTAACATAATCATAGCTAACATTTTAGTGTTTGTTGTATGCCAGGCACTGAACTAAATGCAGGTATTTAAGTCATTTAATTTTCATGGCCTCCTTAAGGGGCAGTTACCCTTAACCCCATCTCATGGATAGAGCAAACTGAGCTTAATTAAGAATGTCTCCCTCGCAGGGTGTGATGGTGCACACCTATAATCCAAGCATTTTGGGAGGCTGAGGTAGGACAGCAACCTCAAGCCAGGCAGGGTTAAATGCAAGACCTGAGCAAGACCTTGTCTCAAAATGAAAAAAGAAACAGGAGCTGGGGATGTAGCTCACTGTGAAGACCCCGGGTTCCAATCCCCAGTACTGGGGAGGAAATAAGTTCCATTTCTGGTCCACATGCTAAGAATCTTTTTATATTTTTAAATCGCTCAAAAGAAATCAAACCATGAGTATTTCATGACGTGAAAATTGTGAGAAACTGAAATTTCAGTATCTTCAGTTGCGTTTGGAGGGAACCCAGGTCATTCATATATGTAGTGCGTGGTTGCTTTGCCATCACAATAGTTAGTGGTGACAAAGACAAGTGGCTCACAAGACAGAAATAGTTACTCTCTGGCCCTTTGCAGAGCATTTGTCATCCTCTGATTTAAAACACAAAAATGAGCTGAGTATGATGGCGCATGCCTGTAATCCCAGCACTTGGGAGGCTGAGGCAGGAGGATCGTTGGGAGTTCAAGACCAGTCTGGGCTACGAAGTGCGCTCCAGGCCAGCCTGAACTGCATAGCGAGACCCTGTCTCAAAAAGACAAAATAATAATAATAATAATAACAATAATAATAAAATACAAAAATGAGCTAGGTGTGGTGGCTCCAGGCCTATAAACCTCTTAGGAGGCTGAGGCAGAGGATCAGGAGTTCAAAGCCAGCCTGGGCTGCATAATGAGATTCAGTCTCAATCAATACATAAAATCCCAAACTGGAGCTGGGAAGCTTGTCATGGTGGCCCACACCTGAAATCCCAGCACTCTGAGAAGGGCTGGGGATATAACTCAGTGGGATAAGCGCCTGCGTAGCAAGCTCAAGATTCTGAGTTCGATCCCCAGTACCGCAAAAAAAAAAAAGAAAGACACAAAAACAATTTTACAGCCGGGCATGGTGGCGCACACCTGTAATCCCAGCACTCGAGAGGCTGAGGCAGGAGGATCGTTTCGAGTTTGAGACCAGCCTGGGCTACAAAGTGAGCTCAAGGCCAGCCTGAAGTACATATAGAGACCCTGTCTTAAAAAGACCAAAAAAAAAAAAAAAAAAAAAAAAAAAAAAAAAAGCCCAGCACTCTGAGAGCAGAAGCAGACAGATCATAAATTTGAGCCCAGCCTGGGCAACTTAGTGATTTAGGGAGTCCATCTCGGCAAAATTAAAAATGGCTGGGGACATAGCTCAATGCAGAAGTCTTGGGTTCAATCCCCAGCACCACCCCCATTAAATAAAATAATGTAGGGGTGCTGTTGCTCTGAGGCAGAGCATATGCTTAATATTCTCAAGGTCCTGGGTTCGATCTCCAGCACCAAAAACATAAAACAAAGCAACAAAATTGCCACAGGTACTAAGTCGAACTCCCAGAAGAATCCCAGAGCCCACATTTGAGCCTCCTGAATCCAGCTGGCTCCTTCCTGGATCACCCGGTCCAATGACTTGGCAACTACTTTCTTAACGCTGAGCAGAGCTGGGTTTGTTTCTTACAAGCTAGAACCCTAGCAGCATCTCCCAGATACCTATTATATTATCAACTCACTTGTCCGAAAAGAATCCCTTCCTTCTCCCCAGCACTCGGTGTCAGATGGATTCCACAGGTTTGCTTTTGTTTTTTGTTGGTTCTCGGAATCGAACTCAGGACTTCGGGCTTGCCTGGCAGGCGCCATGCCGCTGAGCTACATCGTGTCCGGTCCAAGCTTTCAGGTTTTTACAAAGTCCCGCCTCCTGGGGCATAATCACTGGTCAGGCCCCAGGCTGGTTGCTAAGAGCTCTAAAGGTACTGCGTGTTCTTTTCCTATTACACAAGCAGTGCTGGTCCAAGAGAGAAACGCTGACTTGGTGACTTTGAAATCAAGAAGCACACTTGCCCTTCCTTGCTTTGTAACGTGAGCCAATAATATTCTCTTTTGACCCAAGTTACAAAATGATTTCTGTCTGCACAGCAAAGGACAGCTGTGCCAGGCAACCTACAGAATGGGAAAAACATTTTGCCAGCTACTACTCGGACAAAGAACTAATATCGCGAATATAAAAAGAAACAAACAAAAAAAAAAACCCTAGACTCCCAAATTTAAAGACTCGATTAAAAAATGGGTATGTGAAATGAATACACACTTCTCAGAAGAAGAAATAGAAATGGCCAATAAATACACGAAAAAATGTTCAACATCGCTGGCCGTTTGAGAAATGCCAATTAAAACACTGAGATTCCATCTCACTCCAGAAAGAACAGGTACCATCAAACAATCTACCAATAATAAATGCCGGCAGGGCTGTGGGGAGAAATCAATCCTTCTCCATTGCTAGTGGGAGCATAAACTGATACAACCCCTATGGAAATTAGTGTGCAGATTCCTCAAAAAACTAAAAGTAGAGATTTCATTTAACCCAGCTATTCTCCTGCTAGGTATCAATAGATGGTGTTTTTTTGTTTTTTTTTTTTCTCCGGTACCGGAACCGAACTCACGACCTTGCGCTTGCCAGGCAGGCGCTTTTGCCGCTGAGCTAAACCCCCAACCACTCTCCTGCTAGGTATCTTCCCCAAAAGAGTTAAAGACATCACACCACAGTGAAATAGACACGTCCATGTTTACAGTGGTGCAACCCATAATAGCTATATCTTGGAAACAGCCTCTATGTCCAGCATATGAACAGATAAAAAATACGGTATTTATATGCAACAGAGCACTACTCTGCCATAAAGAAGGATACACTTGAGCCCTTTGTAGGAAAGTGGGTGCACTTTGAGACCATCACATTAAATGAAATAACTCAAACACACAAACTTAAACATCACATCATTTTTCTTATATGAAAAACTCAATATTTTATTATAAAATAAAAGACAGATAATAGGAAAAAAAGAGAAAGAAAAAAAAGGTATTCTAGCCAGGCTTGGTGCAGCACATGCCTATAATCCCAGCATGAGGGAGGCTGAGGCAGGAGGATCACCACAAGTTTGAGGCCAGCCTGAGCTACAGAGTGAGTTCAAAGCCAGCCTGAACTACATAGCAAGACCCTGTCTCAAAAAAAGAAAAAAAAAAAAGGAAAGAAAAAAAAGAATTGCAATCCAGTGCAGATAATGCATCGAAAAGTGTACCTTGCTTTAGTGCAGTTATCTATCATGTTTTCTATGTTCTTCGGCCTATTAGTCTGGTTTTCCATCTGCATATGTGATATTTTTTATTTTTATTTTGTCTTTTTGTGACAGGGTCTCGTATGCAGTTCAGGCTGGCCTTGAGCTTACTCTGTAGCCCAGACTGGTCTTGAACTCACAACGATCCTCCTGCCTCAGCCTCCCAAGTGCTGGGATTACAGGCGTGCGCCACCATGCCCAGCCTTGCATATGTGATAGGTAACTGTGTAAGGTCTTATAAATAAATAAACCTGATGCTGGAAAAATAAAAGAGAAGGGAGGGAGAAAGAAGGGAACTGAGACGTGTTCTGTGCATGTACCAGTCCCCTCCAGTGAACACAATCATTATGCACTGCAAACATGTGCTAATAAAAGTCAAAATCAAAAATAATGTAAAAATCACAACTGAAAAATAAAAAATGCTTTTGTCACTTGTATCCAATACAGACCCAAGTAATAACAGTTCCGTATCACACACCGTGTAACATACACACACGTGCGCACACTTATAGAGTCACTTTGAACTAGGCCCACACCAAGTACACAGACCCTGACACACGGCTCAGTGCACATGTCTTTATTTCTCGATGCTATAAAAGAACAAACTTAAAAAAAAAAGTTGGGCATGATGGCGCACGCCTGTAATCCCAGCACTGAGGAGGCTGAGGCAGGAGGATCACAGCAAGTTTGAGGCCAGCCTGGGCTACATAATGAGTTCAAGGCCAGCCTGGACTACAGAGTGAGACTCTTTGTCTCAAAAAAAAGAAAAAAAAGAAAAGAAAAAGAAAAAAACCACCCAAATCAAACCAAACACCAGTGACTCCCCCAAAGCACTGTGACCCTCTTCCCACCCTGATAAATAGAGACTTCTGTCTGTTGGCTCACCCTCCCACCCGCATAACCCCCTCTGCTATAGACATACTCTGGGTATATATTACTCTACTCGGCAATAGACATCTCCCGAAAATAGAACTCCACCCTGCCACCTCTACCCTGGGCCTGCGTCCCCGGAAGCCCTGCTCAGACCACCCGCCACTGCAGCACGCTGGTATCCTTGCCCCCTGTAGTCAGGGCCACACTGTCATCCCACAAGAAGGCCACATTCGTCACATGGCTGCTGTGTCCACCGTATTTGTGGCTGAGGGCCTGTTATGGAGGAGAATGAAAAAGAAGAAGTCAGAAGAGGCAAGGGCACCCTCAGGTCTTCCTGTCTGTACCTTCTCTGTTTACTAAGCCCCACCTTTAAGAATCAATGGGGTTAGCCAGGCGTGGTGGCGCACACCTCTAATCCCAGCATTCAGGAAGCTGAGGCAGAAGGATCGCTGCCAGTTGGAGGCCAGCCTTGGCTACATAGTGAGTTTAAGGCCAGCCTGAACTACATAAAGTGACCCTGTCTCAAAAAGACAAAATAAAAAAAGAATCAATGGGCAGGGCAAGGAAGAATGATGCAAGGCTTATAATCCCAGCACTCTGGGAGGCTGAGGCAGGAGGGTCACAAGTTCAAACTCAGCCTGAGACTCTTAGGGACTTAACGAGTACATGTCCTTTTTTTTGGTACTGGGAATCAAACTCAGGACCTTGCGCTTACCAGGCAGGCACTTGTGCCACTGAGCTATATCCCTGGCCCATGAGTATGTGTCTTTAAAATAAATTTTAAAGGCTGGGCATGGTGGTGCGATCTTGTAATCTCAGCACTCAGGAAGCTGAGGCAGGATTGCTGCCAGTTGGAGGCCAGCCTGGGCTAAATAATGAGTTCAAGGCCAGCCTGAACTATAAAGTGATACCTTGTCAAAAAAATAAATAAAAGGCCCTTGACAGCATAAAAGGAAAAAACGAGAGTGCCCATAGGAGAGGCTGCTCATAAAGAGATTTGAGGCTCAAGGTAATGCAACGTTTGGAGCCTGATTTAAACAAACTAACTGTAGAAAGCCATTTCGGAGACACGGAAGGGCATCTGAATAGGGACTGGGTACAGGATCATATTAAGAAATCAATGTTGGTTCCATCCCAGTACCACCAAAAATAAGAAGACTAATGCATAAATAATTTAATGGAGCTGAATCAATCAATAGCTAAGAATTAACCACTGCTATCTGCAATAAGGATGAATCTTGTAGACATAATGTTAAGTGCAGAAGCCAAGGAAAAAGAGGTCATCCTGTGGCGCTGGCGCCTATAAACCCAGCTACTCAGGAGGCTGAGGCAAGAAGATCACAGAGCCAAAGCCAGCTCAGGCAACTCTGCCAGACTCTGTCTCTCACTAAAAAAAAAAAAAAAGGCTCAGTGGCTCTGGGTTTTCTTTTTTTATTTTTTTTAATTTTCTATTTTTTTGGTTTTTGGTTTTTTTCTGGTACCAGGAATCGAACTCACGACCTTGCGCTTGCCAGGCAGGCGCTGTGCCGCTGAGCTAAATCCCCAGCCCCGGCCCTGGGTTTTAATCCTCAATGCTGAAAGAAGGAGCGGGGAAGAAGGATAGGGGAGAGGAGGGGAAGACTGTGGAATCGGTATGGAGATTCCTCAAGAAACCGAGAGTAGATGATGTTCCTTCCATCTGACCCAGCTATTCCCCTTCTTGGTATCGCCCTGAAAGAATTAAAAGCAGGCTGGGGATACAGTTCAGTGGCACAAGTGCCTGCCTGGCAAGCACAAGGTCCTGAGTTTGAGTCCCAGTACCAAAAAAAAAAGAAGAAGAAGAATTAAAAGCATCATACCGTAGCGATATAGGTGCAATCATGTTTATAGCAGCACAGCTTATAACAGCTAAATCTTGGAAACAACCCAAATGCCCATCAACTATGATGGATAAAGAAGATGTGGTGGCATTATAGAGAAACCATTATATGGTGGCAAATTTTTTTTTAATATAATGGAGTACTACTCTGCCATAAAGAAGGATAAGCCCGAGACATGTCTAACTAAATGGATGCACCTTTAGACCATACTCTTTTTTTTTTTTTTTTTTTCCGGTACCAGGAATCGAATTCACGACCTCACACTTGCCAGACAGGTACTGTGCCGCTGAGCTAAATCCCCAGCCCCCGAGACCATATTCTTAAGTGAAATAAATAAAAAACATATGGTTAAATATTGTATTGTTTCTCTGGGGTGAGAAACTGAAAGTGTAAATGAGACCAAAATGTATAATAGATATTGGGAAAGGGAAAAAAATGTTCAAATGGGGGAGGGGAAGAAGGAGTTAGGGAGGGAGAAGGGACAAGAGAAAAAAAGAGAATACAAAGAAAAAATGGAAATACAGCTTTTGTTATCTGGATGTGGTGGCGCATGCCTGTAATCCTAGCACCCAGGAGTCTGAGGCAGGAGGATCATTGTGAGTTCGAGATCAGCCTGGGCTACAAAGTGAGCTCAAGGCCAGCCCAAACTGCACAGCAAGACCCTGTCTCAAAAGGACAAAAAATAACTTTTGTAAATAAGGAGGAGAAGCGGGGTTGAAGGGAGGGGAGGGGAATGGGAAAAAAAAAAAAGAAGTAAGATATACCATGTATAGGTCCAATTCCTGTGATGAATGTGATCACTACGTATATCTAAAATGTACCAATAAAACAAAAAAATGCAAAAAAAAAAAAAAAAAGAGAGAGAGAGGGAGAAGGAAAAAGATAAAGATGAGAAGGGGTTGGAGGAGACACAAATATGCACTCCTGGTAACAGTGGGACATGACTAACAGGTATAGAAGGGATCACTGCACTATTCTCTCTGCTTTTTTTGTTTTGTTTTTGAGACAGGGTCTCCCTGTGCAGTTCAGGCTGGGCTTGAACTCATTATGGCACCCAGGCTGGCCTTGGCTCTGTGTTTATGTACAAAAATTTCCTATTAAAATGTTACAACAGCCAGGTGTGGTGGTGCATACCTATAATGCCACTCAGGAGGATCACTACGAGCTCGAGGCCAGTGTGGCCCACACTGTGAGTTCAAGGCCAGCCTGAATTACACAGTGAGACGCTGTCTCAAAAAAAGATTAATGAAAGAAAAGAAAAATATAAAGGGCCAAGGATGCAGCTCACTGCAAAGGCTCTGGGGTTCAATCTGCAATACAGCAAAACAAAACCCTTGTGGGGTGTGGTGGCGTCCGCCTGTAATCCCAGCACCAGGAGGCTGAGGCAGGAGGATTGACGTGAGGTTGAGACCAGCCTGGGCTACAAAGTGAGTTTGAGGCCAGCCTGAACAACATAGTAAAACCCTTTCTCAAAAACACAAAGAAGAAAAAAACAGTGTGAGTGGCAGTTCTCCCAGGCTCAGGCAATCACTCCTCTTACCCCCTTGGTGGCATCCTGGCATGGGGAATCACGGATGCTGGGATCCAATAACCTCGGGCACCAGCACCGTGGAACCGTTACATTACACCACTCAGAGTGTCAGCTTGCTCAGGGCTGTGGCCCTGGCTCTCAGTTTCGCTGCTGGGTCCTCCCCTTTGCCCCGGCACAGGGTAGGTGCTCACTAAATAGGAGCTGAGTGAGTAAGGGCCAAAGACTCAGCCACTGAGATGCTCAGGCCCTTAAAGGGCCATAATTCTGCACTAAGGAATTTCCCGACCTTTGGGTTAAGGAAGGTCCTTGGGGCCAAGTGCACCGTGCTAGCTGTAGGGATGAGGAAACTGAGGCCTGCGGGGGAGGAGGGGCTGGAATCTTGCCCCCAACCCTATCTGCTACCCGCCCACACCCGGCCCCTACAGGCACTCACTCGAGGCTGGCAGCACGGGTAACTAAACAGGTGGACCTTTCCAAAGTCGTCGGCTGAAGCCAGCAGCCTCCCGTCGTGGGAGCGAGCCACAGCGTTGATGTCAGTGCCGTCCACGCCCTCGGACCAGATCCCTGTGGGAAAGAGAGGGGTGGTAAGAGCCCAGCTGGCACCGAGGACCCCGAGAAGAGCACGGCCCTGGGCCCCAGCTCCTTGCCTCCTTCCTACCCACCCTGTCTTTATCAAGGATAGGACTCACAATGATCTTTTTCTTGCCCCACCCCCACCCCCATACCGGGAATCCAACTCACGATCTCGAGCTTGCCAGGCAGGCGCTGTGCCCCTGAGCTAAATCCCCAGCCCTTGTTTTGTTTTTTTGAAACAGAGTCTCGCTATGTAGCACAGGCTGGCTTCAAACTTGAGATGATCCTCCTGCCTCAACCTACCGAGTGCTGGGACTGTAGGTGTGCACCACCGCGCCTGGCTGCCTTCTTGCATTTCTCCCAAATTCTTTATCGCCTGTGGGCTTCTGCACATGCCATTCCCCTTGCTCCAGGCTGCTTCCCATCACCACTCCACCAAGCTCTGCATCCCGCAGTCCTCACTCACAGGACTCTTCCTCCAGGAGCCCCTCCCTGACTTCCTCCCAGCCAAACCAACCGTCTCCTCCCGGTTTCCCAGTTCCAGCCCTACTCACTCTGGGTCATCACTGACTGAGGACACGTATGTCTCCCTCACCAGACTGTGAGCTCCACAAAAGCAGGGCGGGGGCTGCAATGGTCACCACAGTGTCCTAGCACTGCCTTGCCCAGGGCCAACACAGCTAGCATTGCAGACTGCCTCAGGGCCTCAATGAACCTCTCTCTCATTTCATTACAGCTCCAAGGGACTTTATCAGTGATCTCACTCTGCCCTTTCTTCTTACATAAACACTGCCCGCAAACAGTAAAGGAGTGAGTTCCCTGTCCTGGAGGTAACTAATAAGAGACCGAATGATTCTAGTCTGGGATGATTTTGTGTGTGTGTGTGTAACAGAGAGAGACAAGGTCTCGCTATGTAGTTTAGGTTGGCCTCGAAATTGGGGTGATCCTCCTGCCTCAGCCACCCAAGTGCTAGGATTACATGTGCCACCATGCCTGGCTGTCCAGGATGATTCTTGGACTCCTGTCCTCAGCAGGGTCTCCCTCACAATGGAGCTTACCAAACACCCCAAAGCCCAGAACACAAGTTGCTGTGGCCCACTCCACGTTCCGCACCATGTCCGCGTTGATGATCTGCTTACAGGTGGCTGGGTCCCCTGGGACAGAAAATCAGGGGAAAGGTTTAGGGCCTGAAGAACCACGACTACACCCCCAAGTACTCAGGAGTGGGCCCTGAGGTCCAGGATGGAGGCCTCATAACACCTGTGGAAGCCTGCATTCTGGGTCCAGACACTTCAAAACCTGAGCAGGGACATCTGTTTAAAAACCTACATGCCAACCAACCAGAAAGGGGAGGAACTAGTTAAAAGCTGGGCCCGCAAGACAAGAAATCAGAAGGTAGAGAGCCCAAGCCTCTGTTCCCTAGGGAGAGCTCAGGTCTGTGCTAATCACACATGCAAATGATGCTCAGGACTCACAGTACAGAATCTCGTAGTCTCCAGAGTTTGTGACAAAGCAGCTGCTGTCCTGGGCCCAATCCAGATGGGTGATAAAACTGGAATGGCCCTGTGGGGGATGCAAGGAGCAGTTAGAGCAGGAGAGGACAGAACCAAAGAGAAGGGTGAGAATTAGATCAGGAAGAAGGTAAAACATACAGGTGGGGTTAAAACACAGAGGGCTAGAGGAAGAATACACAGTATTTTGGAGTGGGGGGGCGGGGCCAGACTATCAGGGGCGGGGCCAGACTGGAGGAGGGGAGCTGACAAAATGTGCTTAGAACACAAGGTCAATTTAGAACGTGTGGGCGGAGCTAGACGAAGGGGGCGGGGCCACACAGGAGGTGGGCGGTGAACATAAGAGGCGGGGCTACAGGGACTGGGGCTCAGATGCGAGGGGCAGGACCATAGAGGAAGGGGGTGGCTTGGTGTGGGCGGGGCTACACAAAGGGGCGTGACACAGGAGGGGGTGGGGGCAGACTAAGACTTCTTGAGGTGGCCAGGGCAGAGTCAGTTGAGGTTGAAGCCGTGCTCCCTTGAGGTAGAAAATTGGTTAATTGTGCACCCTCTGGGTGGGGTGGCGGCGCGGGCGGGGGGCCACTGCCCACTCACCGAGCACTTGCCCAGGCGGCTGACCTTGCGGCCGCCCTGGTCCACCGTGTACACGTACACCAAGTTGTCGTGGGAGCCCACGGCCAGGTACGCCCCGTCTGGGGGAGGGGGAGGGGCCATGAGGAGGCACCCAGGCTCCGCCCCCTCCCGCCCCGATCAGCCCCTCCTCTGCAGCCCCAGGCTTCCACCCTCGCTGCATCTCGCCCAGGCCTGGCAGCTGGGGCGCTGTCCCCTGCTCCTACCAGTAACTGTCCCTCGCCTCTCCTGGATCCCAGGCCCCCGGCTTACCTGGGGAGAAACTGACCACTGAGATCTGCTCATTGCCATCGGTGTGGATAGCCACTAGGTCATTGGTCTCGGTGTCCAACAGCAACCACCTTTAGAAGGAAGGCAGATGAAAAGGGGGAATTAGAAAAAAGAAAAGAAAAGGGGTGAGCTGGGGGCGGGGCTGCCACAACCACCTGTGAGGCCTGAGGGAAGAAGCAGAGGCCCTGGTGGAGCGGGAGGGAGAGGTGACTGTCAAGGAATGTTGAGAGATGGGGGCCTGGTAAACGGTGGGTCCCTAATTAACATCTCCTTGGGGTTGCAGTGGGGGCTCGGGGTCAAGGCCAGTCCCCCCTCCCCCCCCCGCCCCCCGGGAGCAGGAGCCCAGCCTCAGCTTTACCTGCCAGTCACTGTGCCCACAGCCAGGACAGAGCCACTGGGGTGGAAGCCGGCTGAGCGGGCGGGGTCCTGAGGAAGAAGAGGCAGGGCTGAGGGCATGGGCCTGCGTCCAGGGAGCCGTTCGAGGCCTCAGAGCCAGGGTAGGCCCAGCCGGAGGGGCCTCTCCTCCCTGCACTGCCTTCCTGGACCCACAGCCCAGGCGCCCTGTCCCCCTTCCTCCCGAGTCGGCTTGAACCGCCGATGTTGGTCCTGTCTCTCCACCTCCCTCACTCCTCCTTTAAATCCCTACAACTTGGGCCGGGATGTAGCTCAGCAGCATAAGTGCTTGCCTGGCAAGCCTGAGGTCATGAGTTTGATTCCCGGCACCAAAAAAAATTAAAAAAATCAATCCCCACAACTCCTTGTTCCTCCAAGATGACTCCCTTAGGTTATTTTCTAGAAGTAGGAGAGGCAGAACAAAGTATATTCACAGTATTAAGACCCTGATATGGAAGGCCAATCCATCCGCCTTCTATAACAGCACATCAACTTCCCCAGTACTGCAATAAATAAATAGATAAGGTGCCATGGAGTCAGACCTGGGTTCAAACTGTGTCTGCCCTACTTCCTAGACATGTGAGCGACATCAAATAATTGGCCCTCTCCAAGGCGCAGTTCCAAGCAAGATGGTCAATAAGATGACTCCGCAGGAAACACTCCATAAAAGCTGTGCCTATAAGTACACTGCCTCCGGGAGAATCTTCCTGCACTTGATTCCAAGTGGGGACTCTGCATCTTTACTACCGTGAACAGCTGAGTATGGTGGCACGTGCCTGTAATCCCAGTATTCAAGAGGCCGAGGCAGGAGGATCTCGCCAAAAGTTTGAAGCCAGCTTACACTACATAATGAGTTCGAGGCCAGCCTGAACTCCCTGATAGGGAGACCTTGTCTTTAAAAATCAAAACAACATGGGGCTGGGGATTTAGCTCAGCGGCAAAAGCGCCTGCCTGGCAAGCGCAAGGTCGTGAGTTCAGTTCCCGGTACCAGAGAAAAACCAAAAAAAATAAAAAATAAAAATAAAAATCAAAACAACAAATAGCTAGCCAGGCTGAGCTTGAACTCGTGATTCTCCTGCCTTGCACCTCCCAGAGTGCTGGGATTACAGGCATGCACCACGCAGGGCTCAACAGTATGTTCTTGAGCTCAATGATTCCTGAGTCTTCACCCTCCTGACAGTAGTAGAGGCTGCCCTGGACACTTGGTTCTGTGGTGTCATTCTGAGCTTCATTCTATCAAGAACCCACTCCTAAAAGCCAAGCGTGGTGGCTCACGCCTGTAATCCCAGCACTCAGGAAGCTGAGGCAGAAGGATCACTGCAAGTTAGAGACCAGCCTGGGCTACACAGTGAGCTCAAGGCCAGCCTGAACTGCACAGGGAGACCCTGTCTCAAAAAGAAAATCCCTGTATCCTCGGCTAAAGACACCTTGTATGGCGTCCATTTGAAGCACTGAGCCCTGGCTATGGACAAAGGGAATTCTGGTGGAACGACATCAGCCCATGTCCCCTCACCTCAATGATCCTGCTCCACAGGGGCTGGTGGGACTCCAAACACCAGAGGTGCACCAGCTTATCCTGCCCGCACGTCACAAACTGCGCCTGACTGGGGTGTGTGGCCAGGCCCCACAGCTCTTCCACGTGGCCCTGGTGGGAAGGGAAGACGGTCGGATGGAGACTGAGACCCTGTCCCTTCTCCACCCATCCTGACCCCAGAAACCCACAGACCTCGCAACCTGCCCCACCCAGGGTGACTCAGGGAAGATCTGTCCCCCACAGTCAGCTGCCGCCTGCCCCTCTGGGTGGTTCAAGGCCAATCCTGCCCCTTTCCCAGGCCTCTGCTTCTCTCTGCACAATGGGAGGCAGGAGAGTATGGTGACTCAGAACTAGGCCTTGTGAGTCACCAAGGCGGTGCCCATCCTGGCCTCAAACACCCCGGGGGCTCAGGATCCCAGGCTCAGGGAAGGGCCTTCTGCAACAGGCCTGGTGTCACATGGAGGCCAGAAATCTGGGGTCTCCTGAGGGTGCGCAGCCTGCTGGTGCTGACCTCAGCTCTCTCTTACTCTCTGTGGGCAGCCTGATATCGGGCAGTGACTTCTTGGAGCCTGTTTCACCTGCTGTGAAATGGGCCCAATCGTGGTGTGGCCACCTAGCACTGCCAAACTTAACCACATCAGGGATGGGGAGAAAGTGCTACATGTACGGCTAGTTCAGAGCAGATGCTCACGAAATGGAAGTGGCTCCTATTATCATCAATTGCAGAAAGTAACAGTATGGAAGTGGCTGTTATTAATTGCAGAAAACATGGGTATGTTATTAATCAATAATGAACAATAACCACATTGGTGATAATATCAAGATTCATTTTCACAGAATTATGAGCCGGGCGTGGTGACGCACGCCTGCAATCTCAGCACTCAGGAGGCTGAGGCAGGAGGGTCACTGTGAGTTCGAGACCAGCCTGGGCTACAAAGTGAGTTCAAAGCAGCCTGAACCACACAGTGAGACCCTGTCTCAAAAAAAAAAAAAAAAAAAAAAAAAGAATATAGTTATGCTATATATATTAACCCATATTTAATAATATAATAAATAATATAAGATTATTATTAGAGGTCTCTAAGGACCCTTCTGGCCTCGGGACACCAAGAAATCCCTCTAGCTCTAACTTTCCTTTGTTTTCTTCTTCCTTCCTTCCTTCCTTCCTTCTTTCCTTCCTTCCCTCCTTTCTTTTCTTTTTCTGTTTCTTTTTTTGAGACAGGGTCTCATTATGTAGCCCAGGCTAACCTCTAACTCTCAGCACTCCTGCCTCAGTCTCCTGAGTGCTGGGATTACAACCACCATACTCCTCCAGGCCTGTGATTTTTTTTTTTTTTTTGGTCTTTTTGAGACTGTCTCACTATGTAGTTCAGGCTGGCCTTGAGCTCATTTTGTAACCCAGGCTAGCCTTCAACTTGCAACAATCCTCCTGCCTCGGCCTCCTGAGTGCTGGGATTACAGGCATGCGCCACAGGGCTGTGATGTGAACCAAGGTGGTCATGCTCCAGAATTCACACTAACCATCATACTGGACTGCCTCTCCCTAGGTGGGTTTTGACTGGGTGGGGGCAGGGATGTGTCAGACTAGGAAGGGAGCAGGGGCCTCTGAGCTGCAGGGAGAAATGAGGCAGACCCCAGAGGCGCCTTCCCAGATCCTCGGAGCGGATGTCTTGGACATGGGTGCCCAGGTGACAGCATGACAACCTCCAGGCCACTGAGCAACCACATAAGAGGATGCCACCCCCAGTCAGGAGTGCAGGAGGAGCAGAGTTGGGGGACAAAGTGCAGGAAGCAATCAACCCACAGGGTGCTGGACTGTGGGTACTTGCGGGGTCTGGCATCAGGCAGGGTATGGCTATGGGGAGCAGGGAAAAGGAAGCTGTGTGAGGAGACAGGCAGGTGGGAAGCGTGAAGGACGACGGGGAGAGAGAGGAGGAGCCGGGCCAGGGTGGAGGCACCGAGACGCTCACCTGGACCAGTAGCGAGAAGCCCATGTGCACGGAGCCCTGCAGGATGGAGTTGCGGGTGGTCCCCACATACAGCGCATCTCCCCGGCCCTCGGCCACAGTGCGCACGGGGCCAAAGTCCTCAGGGACCTGGGAGCAGACAGATGCGGGACACAGGTCGTCAGGGGCGGCCGGGGCCTTGGCGGGGTGGGGGCCCCTTCACTCCCCTCCTCACCTCCACCTCCTGCAGCTTGCTGTAGTCGGAACCCCAGAGGACCACCCGCCGATCGCGGCCCCCTCCGGACACCAGCGTCCCGTCCCGCAGGGCGCACAGCCCGAACACGCCGCCGTCGTGGGCGCCCAGGACTGCCTGCGTGATGCGGTTTCCACCTGTGGGGGCGGGGAGCGGCGTGGGGAAGCGAGCCTGGACTGAGCCCTGCAAGCACTCAAACTCCCAAGCCCGTGCCCATCATTCCATCCATCTTCCCAGTCTCCTGCCTGCCATGCCCCTCAGCCGCCACCCACAGACTAAGTACCTTATCACCCCCCCAATCACCTGAGACTAACGCCCACCCAGGGTGCACCCACCCTCCTAACTACGCCACCCATGCTCTTGGCTACTCACTTATCTTCTCCGCTGCCCATCCGGCTCTCCACGCACTCATCCACCCATCTACCCACAGATACAGCCCCTCTTCCACCTGTCCATCCGTCCGTCCATCCATCCATCCATCCATCCATCCATCCATCCATCCATCCACCCATTCGAATAGTCACCTTCTCTTCCTCCAACTACCTCTTCATCATTCAATCACTTATTTTCCATCTATTTTCCCATCTATCTAGCCACTCACCCATCTATCCACTCAAATGTCAATCTACCTACAATTAGTTCAGCCATTAACCCTTTCAATCAACATTTTTTTTAGGCCGGGCATGGTGGCGTACGCCTGTAATTCCAGCACTCGGGAGGCTGAGGCAGGAGGAGTGTTGCGAGTTCAAGACCAGCCTGAGCTATAAAGTGAGCTCAAGGGTGGGCTGAACTGCATAGCAAGACATTGTCTCAAAATGACAAAACAAAAAAAACACATTTTTTTGGTAGTACTGGGTTTGGAACTCAGGGTCTCATACACCCTAGACAAACACTTCACTACTAAGGTCACCGCACTGTTATTTAACAAGCATTTATTCTGGGCCCACTACTGTGTCCTCATATTGGGGACACAGTAGTGACTGTGACAAGAGCTGGGCTCTCTACATAGATGTGTCCTTCTGTCATTTTGTCTGCCATCTTCCCAACACTCACCCACCCAGGATCCCAAAGCCCTGAAGTAGGGGCCCAGGCATGCACCTAGGGACATGGACAACCCCTGCCAGAGATGACAAGCCATAGGGAGGGTGACACACTGCCCTGACAGTCACAGCACTCTCTCTGCTGCCTGATCTCAAGGAAAGCTCAAAATACCCATCGGCAAGTAGTGAAATCACACCTGTTTCATAGTCAGGAGACATAACTCTCCCAAAGCCACACAGGAGCATGTGATACCACTGGGACCTGAACCCAGGCGCCCACAACTCCTGAATCAAACTCCCTCCCAACCCACAGCCCGGCTCCAGCAATACTGGAGCGCCGCCAGGCAAGTGGAACTGGTGCTCGGAGCTCATCCCTGCTTCCCAAGGGGCTCACAGACAGGGAATCTGAGACCCAGAGGGGAAAGGCCTTACCTACGGTCACAGAGCCTGTCTCCCTATAGCCAGGTGGCAGGTGACAGGGTCAAAGTGCCCTAGCTCCACAAGCTCAGCCGTTTGCCAGGTCACTGCTCTTCTGAGTCTATTGTTTGTCATCTAATAAAACTTCTCATATTATTTTGTTGGAGGGATGGGGTGCTGTGGATCAAACATGCTAGGCAAGTGCTCTAGCACTGAGCAAACCCCCAGCCCTCTTTTTTTTTTTCTTTTTTCTCTTGTCTTTTTGAGGCAGGGTCTTGCTATGCAGTTCAGGCTGGCCTTAAGCTCACTTTGTAGCCTAGGCTGGCCTCGAACTCACAGTGATCCTCCTGCCTCAGCCTCTAGAGTGCTGGGATTACAGGCATGTGCCACTATGCCCAGAAAAAAAAAAGAAACTGATTTTTTTTAAGGCTAGGAATTGAACCCTGGGCCATGCTCATGTTAGTACACGCTCTACTACTGACCTACATCTCTAGGTCCCCTATTAAGTTATTAATGAAGTCACTTCTGGCTGGAACAACCACTGATTCATCTATTCATCCATCCACTGGCTGGAACATCCAACTCATTTATTCATCCAACCACTGATCTCCTTTCTATAACAATCTGTTCTTCATAACACCTTAATGAACTGACTGAAACAACCATCTACTCACTCACCCATTAATTCATTCCCTCATTCATTTATCACTTTACAGATCTACTGACTGGCACAGACCTATTTATTGTTTAACAAAGTCATCCACTGGCAGTGACCACCACTCGCTCATTAAACTGTTCGTTCACCTAATCACATACCTATTAAGATGAACAACACATTCATTTACTCACTCTTCTAGTCAGTCACTTATTTCTTCATTCATCAGCAGGATGGGACAAATCATCCATCCATCCATCCATCCTTCTACCCACCTATGTACCCACCCACCCATGCATCCATCTATAATTGAGTTAACCCATTCATTCTTTTTTTTTTTTTTTTTTTTTGAGACAGAATCTCACTTTGCAGTTCAGGAGTTCAGGCTGGCCTAGAAATCAGAGATCCTCCTGCCTCAGCCTCCTGAGTGCTAGGATTACAGGCATGGGCCACCACGCCTAGCAACTCTTTTTTTTTTTTTAACCCATTCATTTATACGCAACTCCATCCCTAATATAGGATTTTCAGGGCATTGGGGGTGGTGCCTAAAGACATCATGGAGGTCAGGTGTCTGAGCAAACCTTGAGGGGGAGCTGCTCTACTGCCTTACTCAGTCCATACAAGCAGAGTTATGGAAAGGGAGGCATAGCCATGGGAGCGTGGGGACATAGGGTTGGGGACTAAAGAGATGGGGTGACACTAACCTTTGCCCCAGACATAGAGGTTCCCACCAGAGTCTCCAGTGACCACGTCACCACCTTCCAGAAAGGTCACGCACAGTACATACTTTGGTTTCTCGTGCTTCTAAAGTAGAGGAGAAGAAGAAGTGTCAAGAGTGTGGCTGAAGCAGTGTGGCCTCCCAGAGGCCGCCTACAGCCAGGACCGGGGTCCCGAGGTCCCCTGTACGGTTCTGAGTCTGAAGCCCCATGGGGGGGACCCCCTCTCCACAGTTCCTCCTTCCTGGAGTGCACAGGTCCCCAAAGTTCTGGACCACACGGTCGGGCCAGGGATATAGCTCAGCGGCATAAGCGCCTGCCTGGACCACACGGTCATTCTTGCCCCACCCCGGGTCTGCTGCCTGCCTTGGCCCTCTGCACCTCGGTCATGCCCTGGCTTCTCCTCCCAGTGCTCCGGGGCCTCCCTCAAGGACAGAGGAAGGCAGAGGTCCCCGCACTACCCTGCCCCTGCTCAGTGTCCATCTCAGCCGGGCAGCTTCCGATGCAGCAACTGCCCACACTAGCCACTGCCACACCCGTTTAGTGAGCGGTTACTATCCTCCCAGTGCGGGTGATGTGCTCCTTCTGTGGAATCCTCTCCACTTCCGCCCCCCAGGGGCAGATAAGGAAACTGCGCTCCCAGCAGCCACCAGCTCGGCACCCCTGTCCTTCTGAGCCTCTGGGACCCCGGGCTGTCTTGCTGCCTGCCTGGGCGGCCCTGCCTGCCTCTCCTGGGCCCAACCCGTCCCCACAGCCTGGCATTCACCTCGAAGAGGCCCTGCCGCTTGCTCAGGCTGCCCCCCTCCAGGCTCCAGAAGTAGATGTGGGATTTGCCGCAGGTGATAAGCAGGGCGGGGTCGGTGGGGTGGAAGGTGGCCACCAGCACGGCCTCGTTAGAGCACTGTGGGGTTGGGGAGATTTCAAGTTAGGACCTCAAAGCCACCAACCCACCCCATGGAGAACCGCCCCGTACAGTTGTGCGAAATGTGCACTGCACATCCCACCGGCCCTGTACCTTTCCTACACTCAAACTAAAGTACAGTAGGGGGCAGGGCTGGGCAATCCAACTCACTCCGGTCTAACTCAAAAGCCTCACTTTGCAACCATTTTCTTCTCCCTAAACAGTTGTGTGATGGAGAATCCAGTTTTCTACCCCTGGCTCAGGCAAGTGCCCTTGGGCCCATATCTCTCTCCCTACCAAGCCTCATTATGAAACAGGCCACTGTCTACACAGGCATTCCAAGCTCCGTCTTGGCTATCACAGCACTATGGCATCAGCAGCCAGCTCACCTCTAACCCCACCTCTCCCCGAGGGCAATGGTGCTGCTGTCCCCATTTCAAAGATGACACAACCGAGGCTGGGGAGGGCAAATCCCTTGCTCTAAGGCACAGAGCCAGCAGATGACAAAGGCAAGACTTCAACAGGAGTCTATCTGATGGCGACTCCTAACCCCTGAGAAGGGCCAACTCCCCAGGTGCCACAGGAGAGGGGACTAGAATGCTCACCCCACCTTGCCATCCACCACCTTGGCCTCCTTGGCCCAGTCCCACACAGACAGCATGTGATCGTTGGACTCATCCACGGCACACAATAGGTTCCCCCCATTCTGTGGAGGGGAGGGGAAGAGAGGGGTGAGGTGAGCACAGGTCCATTCACCCACATCCCGCTCCTGTTTTACTACCTTCCAAGGTTCTGGTCCACATCATACAAAACACATTAAAAGACACTCCCCATCTAGGGGCCATAAAAATATCTTTTTTTGTTGTTGTTTGAGACAAAGTCTTGCTCTGTAGATAAGACTGGCCTTGAACTCACTATGGAGCCCAGGCTGGCCTCAAATTCAAGGTGAGCCTCCTGCCTCTGCTTCCCGAGTGCTGGGATGACAAACATGCACCACCATGCTGGTTTAAGACAACTTTGTTGGCTAGGGATATAGCTCAGTGGCATAGTACCTGCCTGGTAAGCACAAGGTTCTGAGTTCAGTTTCCAGTACAAAAAAAAACAAAAAACAAAAAACCAACTTTATTGTTACTGTTAAAGTGCTAGGGATGATGGGGCAGGGGATTTAGCTCAGCGGCACAGTGCCTGTCTGGCAAGCACAAGGTCATGAGTTCGATTCCCGGTACCAGAGGAAAAAAAACAAAAAAAAAAGTGCTAGGGATGGAACCCTGACACAAGTTGGCAGGCACTCCACCACTGAGCTGCAGTCCCTGCTACTTAAAGGAACTTTTATAATTTGCTTCTTTTTTTGTTTGTTTGAACTTTTTTTTTTTGGTACTAGGAATTGAACTTACAACCTCATGCTTGCCAGGCTGTGCCACTGAGCTAAATCCCCAGCCTGTAGTTTGTTTTTTTGAGACAGGATCTCACTATGGGGCAAAGGCTGGCCTCAAATTTGCAGTGATCCTCCTACTTCAGCTTCCCAAGTGCTGGGATTACAGCTGTGCACTACCATGGCTGGCTATAATTTGCTTTCTGAAATGATCCACTTCTGACACAGATTTTTTTTTTTTTTTTGGTACCGGGAATCGAACTCAGGCCCTCACACTTGCCAGGCAGGCACTGCACCACTGAGCTATATCCCTGGCGCCATGAAATGACCCATTTCTAAGAAACTCATCTTGCCAGGCATGATCACACGTCTGTAATCCCAGCACTCAGGAGGCTGAGGCAGGAGGATTGTTGTGAGTTTGAGACCAACCTGGGGTACAAAGTGAGCTCTGGGTCAGCCTGAACTGCATAGTGAGATCCTGTTTCAAAAAGACCAAAAAAAAAAAAAAAGAAAAGAAAAAGAGAAAAAGCTGGGATAATGCTTACTTTTATATACTTTTTGTTAAACACAGATTAATTTTGGTTTGGAAGAACTGATCCCCCCACCCCCACACAACACAATGTAGCTGTTTTTTTGGAAACTGTCCAGTCTCCTTAGGCCTCAGTGAGGCTGCGATTCTGTGCTTCTTCAGCTGTCTGTAGGGGGTGGGGTGGGGGGGGACGACAGGGGACTGGCTGTCTTTCCTCCCCAACTCACTGCACACCAGGGCTTTGGAAAACTATGATAAAAATGTAAAATATGATCTGAGGAAAACAAGCCCATCAACACCAACTTGGGCATTGCAGCGCTGTGGACGGAGTTCTGCAAATTCCTACAGGTTTACTCTCAGCTTCTGGGCTTATCTGGGCCTAGATCAAGCAGGGAGCCAAACACGGGGGCTCAAAATGCTAGGAAAGCCAGGTGTGGGGTGCATGCCTGCAGCCTCAACTCTTGGGAGGCTGAGGCAGGAGGATTATTGAGTTCAAGGCCAACCTAAAACCCTGCCTAAAAAAAAAAAAAAGATGGGGGTGGCAGCTCAGTGCCCCCAGGGTTCAATCCTCATTCCTGTGCCCCTGAGGGAATGAATGAGTGAATGTACAAATGAAGGCATTTCTTTCTTTTTTGAGACAGCCTCTCACAGTGCGGTTCAGGCTGGCCTCATACTCACATGATCCTCCTGCCTCAGCCTTCCAGGGCTGGAATTATAGGCGTGTGCCACCACCCGGACAAGGAATTTCTTAAGAGACAAGAACCCTTCTAGAGTTAGGGAGAGTGCAGATTAATAATGCAAAGGGCATCCACCAAGCCCCAACAGAATGCTGGGAGTTTGAGATAAACCAGGATGCTCAGACCCCTTCAGAATAAATAACCAGGCAGGATAACGTTCGGCTTGTGAGGTCACAAGGATCTGGGAGCCCCAAGGCCTGGAATTTGGCTGGGGGTGTGGCCCCTCCCCAGGGCCAGCTAGGAGAGTACATAGTACTTGTACTAGCTTTTGTTTATTTTGGTTTTGTGAGATTGGGTCCAGCTCTAGTACAGGCTATCCTTAAACTCAAGGCAATCCTCCTGTCTCAGGCCAGTAAGTGCTGAGATTACAGGTGTCAGGTACCATGCCTGGCTTGTCCAGGCTTTTGGAGGTATGAGTGAGTCAAGGTGGGCCAAGGACTTACAGATTTGGAGAAGCCTACGCAGCACACAGCCCGGTCAAACACACCCAGGCCCAGCACGTGTAAGGTGGAGAGGGACACTGAGTCCCAGACGCGCACGTGTGGCGGCAGCGGCTGCAGGAGGGAGAGGACTGTCACCTGGGGGTCCCGGCTCTGGTCCTGCCTCCTCCCCACTCACCCACTCTGCCCCGTTACCTTCCCCTCCTTAGTGGTGCCCGCCACCTGTCCTGTGGCGATGGTGACCATATCTGGGTGGACAGCCAGGCTGGGGAGAGAGGGAACAGGTGGACAGGGCTCAGTCGGAAGGAGAGGTTCATGGTGGCCCAAGTCCTTCCTTTTTATTTGAGACAAGGTCTCTGCAGTTCAGGCTGCCTTTGAACTCACTACACAGCCCAGGCTGGCCACAAACTCACAGTGATCCTCCTGCCTCAGCCTCCCAAGTGCTGGGATGACAGGTGTGCGCCACCACATCCAGCTTTACCAACCCCTTCCCACACCAGGCCACAACAGTAACACCTGGGTCTTCATTTCAAGAATTGCTGGACTATTGGGCCGGCGACACCGCTGTCCTGACACACTTTGGTGGCAATAAGGGGACAAGGGAAGGGAGACTGAGGCCCTGGTCTCTGTCTCAAATGCCCCCAGGGGTCAGGCCTGGGCGAGAGCGACCAGGGAAGCACACTGATGTCAGCGGGCCACCACTTGGCCCCAGTCCACCATGGGGCTCAGTCCACAGGGCCGATTCAGGCTTTTCCAAAGGCGCTGAGGGAAGCCGCCACCACCACCCGCCATAAAGACCATCCACGCACATTCTCCCACTCAGTGCTGCCTGGGACAGCTGGTGGTTTCGGAGAAGGAGCAAAGCCCCAGCGTTAGCCCTGGCCCTGGCCCGCCCCAAAGCGGCCTCCATGCCTGCGCTGGCGGCCATGTGGAGACCCCGAGGCACAAGTCCCTGTGGCCCCCACCCTGCCAGGCCGCACCATTTGATGTCATCGTTGTGGCCCAGGTAATGGCGCTGTCTCTGCTCCTCCACGCTGTACAGCACGGCCACCGAGGCCACGAAGTACACGATCTCCCCCGTGGGCAGCAGGTAGAGGTTGGCCCTGCAGTCTCGGCCGCGGTAACCATAGCTGGAGGCGCCCAGGGAAGTTAAGGAGCCTGTTTCCTGCTCTGCCTGCTGAGCTCCAGCCCCAACGCATCGGAGCTCTTAGTCCCGCAGTGCCCGCCCCTCCCCCCCAACAGGTCTGTGCCTGAGCCCCTGGAACCTGGGATTGTGTCCTCATACCTAAAATGGGTCTTTGCAGATGTAATAAGCATGAGCCCATCCTGGATCAGCACTGTGAGCCCTGAACCCAGTGACAAGTGTCCTTATAAGAGGAGACACAGGTGCCAGGCATGGTGGCACATGCTTATGATCCCAGTACTAGAGAGGCTGAGGCAGGAGGATCACTGCAAGTTCAAGGTCAGCCTGTACTACAGAGTAAGACCCTGTCTCAAAGAAAAAGAAAAAGAAAAAGAAAAAGGAGGAACAGTGTAGGGAAAGCGGCTATGTGAAGACAGGCTGGGGGTGTGGCCATAAGCCCAGTCGCCCAGGGACTGCTGGTAGCTACTAGAATCCAGGAGACAGGGAGCAAACGCTCCTCAAAGCCTCTGGAGGAAGTGGGGCCCTGCCAAGACCTTCATTTTGGATTTCTGGCCTCCTGATCTGTTAGAGAAAAATGTTGCATTGTTTCAAGTCACCTGATTTGTAGCAACTGTTTTTTTCTTTGTACTTCTGATTTTTTTGTAGTCCTCGGGATCACACTCAGGGCCTACACATGCTAAGCAAGCACTCTACCACAGAGCTACATCCCCAGCTCTTTTGATTTTTTTTTTTTTTTTTTTTTTTTGAGACAGGGTCTTGCTAAATTGCCTGAGCTGGGGCTTGAACCTTGAACCTTAGAGCCTCCTGCCTCAGCCTCTGAGTAGCTGCACATGTCTTGTCTGTGGCAGTTGTTATAACAGGCACAGGAAATCAAAGCCCTCATCTCCTCTAGAGGCCATAGGGATTTCATTAAAAACCCACCAACAGTCAAGTGTGGTGGCACACACCTGTAATCCCAGTACTCGGGAGGCTGAAGCAGGAGGATCATTGTGAGTTCAAGATCAGGCTGTGCTACAAAGTGAGTTGAAGACCAGCCTAAACTACATATGGAGACCCTGTCTCAAAAACAAATGAACAAAAAACAAAACCCACTAACACTTCAGTCAACTACCATTTGCACCCATAGCTCTCAACTCATTCAAGTCAGAGTCCTCACAGCGCCCAGGCCTGCCCCATCTGGGCCCCTACTCCTTGCTCTCTTCACACTGGCTCAGCTGTGATCACATTACTTCTGGCCTGTTCTGACCTCAGGGCCTTTGCACTTGCTCTTCCCTCTACCCGAACATACTTGCCCCTCATTTTGCCACCTCCTTCAGGTCTCAGCTGGACTTTCAGCTCCCAGAGAGGCCTGCCCTGCTCAGCCTACTACAAATGACAGCTGGGCATGATGGTGCACACTTGTAATCACAGCATACTGGAGGGTTTGGGGGTATGGGTTTTTTGTTTTGTTTGTGGGATTTTTTTTTTTTTTTTTTTTTTTTTTTTTGCTACAGGGAATCGAACTCAGGACCTCAAGACTGCCAGGCAGGTGCCGGGCCACTGAGCTATATCCCTGCCCTTGTTTTTGTTTTTAAGACAGTGTCTCACTATGTATTGTAGGCTGGCCTTGAACTCACTATGTACTCCAGCCTGGCCTCAAACTTGTGGAGATCCTCCTGCCTCAGTCTCAGCAATGCTGGGATTACATGTGTATCTTGGCATACTATGTACACTGAGTTCACTGTTTGTTGAAAGATAACTGTCCCTCTCCTGTTTGGAACTTTTTGTGGCTCCCCAGTGCTCCAGTGAGAAAGTTTAAGCCCCATCCAACTGGCATCAGCAGGGCTCTGCCTTCTTTTGCTCTGTTGTTTTTTTTTTTTTTTTAATTATTCTTTCAATTTTTAGTAGCAGGTATGTCTAGTACACAGGATCGAATTCCTTGCGGGGAGTTGGTACACATATTAACACATCTTTTTTATCCCCTTCCACTTCTCTCCCTTACCCTTCCCTCCATCCCTCGGTCCCCTTCCAATTTGCAAAAGCTCTGTCTCTTTGATTCCTAGCATCTGTCTTTTATTTTGCTTTTTATTTATCATTTGGATTTTTCCTAGAAGGGAAACCATGCAATGTCTAAGCTCATGTGTCTGATTTATTTCACTTAACACCTTGTCCAAATTTTTCCTACTTTTTTTTTTTTTTTGGTACCGGGAATCGAACTCACGACCTTGTGCTTGCCAGGCAGACACTTGCGGCACTGAGCTATACCCCTGGCCCTAAAGGCACTGTGATCTTTTCTGTTCTTTTTTTTTGTACTGGGAATCACATTTTTCCTACAAATGACACAAGTTTATCCTTCTTTATGCCACAGTAGTACTCTACTGTCCTTCTTCTGTGATCTTTAGAATTCCTTAAAATGCCAAGATCATTACTGCTGCCTGAGGCCTTGGCAATAACCTCTCCTGTTGCCTGCTGCATCTCCTGCTACCCTTCATAGCCGCCGCCTCCTTGGGCTCATTTACTCCACTGACCTTTCCTGACTTAGGCACTCTCTATCTTATTTGGTAACTGCCTATGCTCCCCAGTGAGTTCCTCAGTGACTGAGACTGGACTGTTTTGTTTGCATCTGCGTCCTCCCAGCGGCAGGCTGGTCTTGGCCTCACACACTCTCAGTTGTTGCTGTCAACAAGTCTGCTCCCTTACTGGTTTGTGAACTTGAGTACGGCTGGTGGGCAGTGTCATAGTCACGTCATGTCCCCAGCCCCCTGTCCCAGACATCTGACCATATGCATATTCTGAGCTCCCGGAAACCACTCTGTCCTGAGCTTTTAAAGAGATATGAATCTGAGGCCCACACTAACCTTCTTCTTCTCCTCCTTCTTCTTCTTTTTTTTTTTTTTTTTGGTCTTTCTGAGACAGGGTTTCACTGTGCAGTTCAGGCTGGCCTTGAACTCACTTTGTAGCCCAGGCTGCCCTCAATCTCACAGCGATCCTCCTGCCTCAGCCTCCCGAGTACTGGGATTAGGTGTGTGCCACCACATTCCGCTCACACTAGCTTTTGAGGGCTCGGCCAACTCTCCTGGATGTTTATCAGGCTCCACCTGCAGCTGGGCCATACACTGCAGGGAGTGCTGCCTGTGGCCTGGAGGAGGCTTTCGCTCCCAGAAAGCTGAGCCATATGGCCAACCTTCCTGACTCCCCCAAAGGAGCCAGGGCCCCAGAGAGGCGCAGGCAGGGATGGGGTCCTGCAGTGAGTGGCCCAAGCCGATGGTCTTTTTGGAAAAAACTCAAAGCCCAGTGTCAGAGCTCTTGCCTCAGATCTGTTCCCACTCCTAGGATGGGACTGGGTCTCCTTTCTGGTTACTGGTTGTCAAAATACAGTCTGGATTCTAAAGAAGAGAAGGATCATCTGTAACGTATTTACGGGTGGAAGAACGTACAGCCAGCTGGTCATGTAAGTGCTCGGGAAAGACTAGCTATTATTTTATCACTTCCTTTATGGGGCACGGATGACAAGCTCAGCCCCTCCTGCAGCATTTCACAGTCCTGTGAGATCAGGAAACTCATTTTCCAGAGAGGCAACTGAGGCAGAGAGGCAAGGTGACATCCAAGGTCACAGCCAGAGGCAGGGCTGGGGTTTGAACCCTTTTCTGCCATATCCAGTGCAAAGTCCCTCTCTCCCCAAGTCTCTCAGGACTTCTGACTCCGCCCAGGGCAGGGGAAAGGGAGGCTTGAAAGCAAAGGATACACCCAGTCCAGCTTGAGGCGGCAGGGAGGCAGCTCGGAGCGCGTGTCCAGGCTGTAGGTGGGAGCCAGCTCATCCGGGATCAGCATAGGCACAGGGCGGCCCCGCAAGAACATTTTCACGGACCCTTCTTCTGCTAAAACACTCACAGAGGTCAGGCGCTAATGCCAACCCAAGTCCTACTCCCACTCCTCCTGGGCTTTACTTTTTGTTTGTTTTTGCTTTTTGAGACAGGGTCTTGCTTTGTAATGCAGGCTGCTGGCCTTGCACTGACTATGTAGCCCAAGCTGGCCTTGAACTCACAGAGATCCTCCTGCCTCAGCCTTGCAAGTGCTGGGATCATAGGTGGGTACCACCATGCCTGGCTACTTTTTTTTTCAGTAAACAGATGGAGGAACTGAGGCCACAGAAGCAAAGGGCCAGCAGCAAGGTCTGACCCGGTCTCCCCTAAGAAGCAAGTGTCCAACCAAGCCCCTCCTCCTCACTCACCCATACTGAAGATAACTTCTTTGGTTTTGCTAACAGGAAAGGATGCAACAAAAAAAGAAGAAAAGTGCTTTTTAGCAGGCAGGTCAGACGGTTACAAAGGGGAAGAGCATTACCGCCTCCCCCTCTCCCCACTGCTCCCCGGAGGTCTCAGACGAATAGTGGGGGCCGAGTAAGGGGCGGAGCTCTGCCTCTCTGCAGGCCGTGTGCTTTGCTCGGTTGATCGTGCAGAGCCTAAGACACAGGCCCAGAGAGGCAGTGATCGCCAAAGATCACACAGCACGAAGTGGCAAGGACGCGATGCTGGAAGAGAGGAGTCGCCGGGGATCCCTCCCTCCTAATCAGCAAGGTGCTCGCCAGCGCCCCCCTTCCCGTCTCCAGCGCCTCAAACTATAAGCAGAGAGGGAAGCGGAGAAAGTTTCGGAGAAGGGGCGTGTCTCCACATTCCCCACCAGCGGAAAGGGGTCAGGTGGTCGGACCTGGATCCCTGGGGACGGGAGTGGCCTGGGACCCAGGCCCCGGAAGCGGGGTAAGAAGGGGGTCTGCGAGAGGGTCTCACCCAGCTCCAAAGCTACTCATGGCGGCGGCTGGCGGAGCTTCGGGGCCGGGGGTGGAGCCGGGACCGGCTCCGCCGCTTCCGGCCCTGGGAGGCGCCCGCTCCGCGCCGCGCCCTGCCCCGCCCTCCGCGGCCACCCCTGGAGCTGGCGGGTGCCACTGGGTCCCACATCCCGGGCTGTGGAGTACTGATGCCAGGCTCCCTTTGAGGGATGGGAAGAGTGGTTGAGAACGTGGACTCGGGGCGGCCTGCTTGAGCTCCAACCCCACCCAGTTCTGCCTCTTTCTAGCGGTGCGGCCAAGCTCCCCAACCTCTGCCTCGGTCTCCTCATGTTAAACATGGGGTTAATCAGAGTACCTACACCTCCCGGGGTGGCTGTGAGGATGAAGATGACTAATTTCACGTAAGTGCCTGGGAGAGTACCTGATGCACAACGTGTTTGCTACGATTTCAGAGTGGAAGGTGAGGGGCTTGACCGGGGTCCTGCCTTAGCCCGGGCTGACCACGCCCCTCGCGTCGTGACCCTACCCCTAGGCGCTGACTCCGCCCACGTCCTCGGTACGGCCCCGCCCCCGCGGTTCAGCGTTCTGATCACACCCACCTCCTACTTCTAACCCTGCCGCTAAATTGACTAAGTCTCTAATAATTGATGGCTTCCACACATACACCAGCCCCTCTGCTCTGGTCCCACCAGGCATTACGACCACGTCCACCTTCACGGGCTCAGTCCCGGGGTTGGGTCCCCTCAAGGCCCAATTGGCTCGGCTTCTTGAAGTTAGACCACTCCCGCCCGTGGCCCGCCCCACGTCCAGGCAGCGCCCTCTGATTCCCTTCCCTGCGGAGCTCCTGAAATCTGACAGGTCCCCACCTGGTCTCAGCTCCTCTGACCCCTACTCCAGGTTCTGATTCCTCTCAGGGTAAAATTCTGGCAACACCTGCACATTCCAACCACAAGCTCATCTCGGATTGTCCCTGAAGAAACCCTGAGGCTGAGCCCCTGAGATTCAAATGAGGACGCTTACCTTACTGGCCATGCCCACGTGCCCGGTTCCACTCGGACCTCCCCTCTGGCTCACCCTGAGTACACCCAAACCTTGCACACCTGCATTCCTGTTTCATCCAGAGGACTCTGGCCACGCCCCCCGATCTCGGCCCCGCCCCCCACGCCTTCCATCTTGGCCACTCACCGCAAGAACCGCACCTGCCTTTAAACCATCTCCCCTACTCTCGCTGATGATGCCCTCGTGGCCGGGGCCATGACTCTCAATTCCCCCTCCTCTGCCCGACCGATCCGGCGTTCCGACCTCAGCCCCCGAGGCACGGCCCCTACCCGATACCTACCCTTCCTTTTTGGCGCTACAGTTGCTGCTGGAGGACGTGGTGCGGCTGCGGGGATCCTCGCGACGCACCGAGGCGAGGCGCTCTGGCGACAAGTAGCGGCGGCTGCTGCGACAGGCGAGCACAGTCGGGAGCAGAGTCCGCGAGGCTGGCGGGCCAGGGGGGCCAGGGCCGCGGGAGGGCGGGAGCCTCGCTGCACCCTGCAGGGCTGGAGCTCGCGCGCAGGAATCCCCCCTCTCCAAGAAACAGCCTCGGGCTCCCGCGAGGGCTTGGAAGAAGCTGGGGATCTGGTTTCGGTGCCTCACCTGCGCCCGGAGGTCGCCTCCTTCTTGGGGGAAGATGGGGACGTGGCATAGCCGCCCACGCGCCGCGGGGGTCCCGAGCCATTGAGGGGCGTCCTGGTGGGAAGGCCTTTCAGGAGCTGGCACACTGGAGCGACGGGGTTGAACAGAGGGTGAGTGAGAGGGCAGGGCTCTGAGCGCGCCCCGTGCCCCTCCAGCCCCGCCACCGTACCCGAAGCAGTGGTCCCGAGGCGCGGGGGCGCACGGCCCTTGGGGGTTCCCCTCGCGCGCAGCGCCGCGCCCTGTTCTTCGCACGCCCGCAGGCGACGCAGCGCGTCCGCCAGCGCCGCCTTTAGGACCGCCAGCTCGTCCTCCTGCAGCTGCAGCCGCTGCTCCAGCGCCGACACGCGGTCGTCCACCTCCATGCCGCTCGTGCCGGACAGATTGTCATCTGGAAGGCAGGGAAGAGCGGGCTGCGGGGCGCAAAGGGGCTCCAGCGCCTGAGGCCCGCTTCGGATTTCCCGGGTCTGAGCGGCGGGGGAGGCGGGAGGCCACTCCCCCTGCTTCTCCCGCAACCTGGGGCAGGGAAGGCTCCGCAGAGAGAAGGAAATCCCCCTCTCTCTTCTGCCCTTCCCCACTTCTCTCTCTGCCACGGCGCCCCGGCCGTGTGACCTTGGGGAAGTCCCTTCCTCTCTTCGAAGATTCTGAGAATCTTCGAATTCTAGACCCTCTCGCTCTAGTTTCGAAATTCTCTGAGTGCCAGGCGAGGCGGTGCACCCCTGCGATCGCAGCACTCTGGCGGGAGGATCGAAAGTTGGAGCTCAGTCTGGGCAACTTAGCGAGAACTTGTCTCAAAATAAAAAAAAAAATTAAAACGGTCTGGGCATGTAGCTTAGTCCGAAGGCCCTAGGTTGGATCCTCAGTACCGGAAAAAAAAAAAAAATCTATGACTAAGATACTAAATATCTATGAGTAAGATCAACATTTTAAGGATGACATCAACCTACTCCTAGTGACACTAACGTTCTAGAATAGGTATCCAACATTCTCTGATGACCGTCGATGTTGTTGGGGGTTCTAACAGTGCCTCAGTTCCCCAGACTTTCCGCCTCTTCCCCTCCGCGCCTCACCAAGGGGCTCCCTCGCCACTCCAGCCAGCGGCAAGGACGGAGCGTCTGCGCCCCCTGGCGGCCGGCGTAGGGATCGCAGACATCATAGAGCGGACCCAGGAGACCCAAGGAAGCAAGACGCTTGAGATGACACCCCATCTTTCCTCCTAGCCGCAGTTCTTTTCCTCTGCCCCCTTTATTTATTTTTCCTCTGTACTCCACATCCCAAATTTGTCTCTGCCCCTCCTCTACAACCCATGGGTGCTGCGAAAATGACTTCTCCATCATAGCCCCCCCCCCGCCCACTTTCCCGAAAGGGGCGCCCTCCCCCTTCCCTCCCAGACCGCTCATACCCAGACTCATTGCCGGCCACAGCCGAGGTGGCCCTGGCTCCCAGCCTGCTAGAAGTAAAGATGGTAGCATAAACAGGGACGGGGCGAGGAGGTCGCACCTGCCAACTCACGTCCCTAGGCTGCCCCGCCTGCCCGCTGGGCTCCGCAGTGCAGCCGTGGGTCCCTCCCCCTCCTCCACCACCCAATCGCCTGCCGGTCTCCGCAGGCCCTGCCCTCCCCCAAGGCTTCGCGGGTCCCTCTCTGGACCTGCAGAGGAGGGCGGGGGACCTCCCGAGGTCAGGAGAGAGCCGTCCGGATTTGGAACCCAAGGGGGTTCCGACAGGGGAATCTCGGGCTTCTATTGGTATTGCGTTTGGAACAGCAATCAAGGCAGGAGGCTGGAGGGAGTGTGCAGAGATAGGCAAAGAGTCATAC